CCTAGCTTCGGAGCAAGCCAAGCCCTTCCGGTCCAGCCTCTCACCCGTGAACGAGGCCAGCCCCGACCTAGAGCACAATGAAAGCGCTCCCCAAGCAGAGACCCCTGAAACTGCAGCACCCCCCGCCGCCAGCCTCCCAACCCGCCTCTCCGTCAAGCCCGTCACCCACCGTGTCCCCTCCCCTTTCCGAAAGAGCAAGCCTTTCACGCTGAAGGTGACCGAGCAGAGGCGCATTGCCGAACACCTCAGGCTCATGACCTCCCCAGCCATGCCCATGCTACACAAGCCAGGCGCTCCTGAGACTCCACAGCAGCCTGAAGGCACAGACACCCACCTTCCCTCTCCAGGTGATCCTTCCACATTTGTTTGCCCCCAACCTACTCCTTCCAGTACACCCAGTAAAGAAAAGGCACCAGAGGTTACCTATGTTACCAAAGCGCACGCTTATTTTCACAGTGTCAAGCCACCCAGGGCTAAGACGCCCACATCAAATGAAACCCAAGCAACCATCAGCCATGAAGACAAAAGGCCACCTTCTCCTGCAGCCGAAACAAGCTGCTTTGAACCGTCTCCAGGGCAGATACCCACCCCACTCGATGACAGCAAGGCCACGGCTCCCACACTGGAGCCTCCCCTCCTTTCTGCTGCAGAGGCAGAGCCTCCTAAGGAGCCCGAGCCTGCTCCTACTGAAGAGTCCATCAAGGTCCCTTCACCCAAGCCCAGCACCTCTGATGCCCACACCAATAAGCCTATGACCCATGGAAGTGACACAGAAATATCTGGGTCAGAGGTAACTCCTGAATTACCCAAGCAAGATGGCGACATCCTAAAACCATCAACATCCAGCACTCCTTGGAGGCAAGCACATCCAGAGACAGCAACCCCAGCAGAAGCTGACAGTACGGGGGCCACCTCCACAGACACCAAGGCAGAACATGTCCTTCAACCTCATTTGACCCCCAGCTTACCAAAGACCAGCCCTCCCCTCAAAGCTGAGCCAGCGCTACCATCAGTAGAAGCAGCAAGACCTCCTGGAGCCAATGCTGGTGGCTGGCTTCGCCTCAGAAAGCACTTGACGGTGCAGCCAGAAGCACCCAACTTCCCAGAGCCCGAGCCGGAAAAGCTGGGACAGGAGGAAGGGAGCAAGGAGAAGGACAGCTCTCAAGCAGTCATCGGTCAAGACCAGAGGCTGTTTAAATCAAGGGCCACAAGAACATGGGATGCTATTTTATACCAGATAACAGTCAACAAAGAGAAGAAGCAGCAAGCAGAAGAGAAGAAGCTGCAGAAGGAAGAAAGCTTCTTTCTTCCCCGCCGCTTACCCATCCTTCTAAATAAGCCACGCTTCGATGCCCGGAAACTGAAGGAGCTGGCTGCCAAACCCATGACAAATATCACCACCATGTTCGAGGTGGGCCGGTTTAGACCCAAAGTGACTGAGGAGCACACCAAGAGCTTTAACAGAACGGCATCAGGATGGTCAGTCCACTGAAGCCAGGCTGCTCCACCAGGCCCACATATCTGGAGATTCCTACAGGGCACCAAGCAAGAGAGCACCTACGTCTAGGTTTACTGCCCGACAGAGCCAAGTGTAAGGAAAAAAAAAAAAAAAACAAACACAAACCCCTCCAAGCCAGCAGCCTCATGCTGTGGGTTTAAGGGTTACTCTCCATATGTATATAAGCTTAAATGCGTAACATACCACATCCACAGGTCATGAGCCAGGAAAACAAACATGCGCTTGTTTTAAAAAGAGCCAACAACAAGCACTGTATGCAGTAATACGGGGAAGAGAGGGGAGGCACACAGTGAAGAGGAGAAATTGCCTGTTAAAAAAGCCCAGTTTGGAGGAGGATGATGGAATCCAAATTTATTTTATCTTGTTTATTTAAGACCAAGAGAAATCCTAGAAATAAAAGCAGTTGTAGATGAGACACGGTGAAAGAATCTGGGTTGCTCCACAATCTCCTCTAGGGATTCTTAGAAACTGACCTCAAAGAGGGTACACATCATCTCTTTAGCTTCTCCACTGAAAGTGCTGTGGAGGACCCCTCACACCCGTTCACCGAGAGCAAGGTGGAAACTCATCCTTTCACCCAAGGCACAGACAAGGGACAGCATAAGATACCCATCCTGCTCTCACATAGCAGTTCCCCTGCCTAAAACACTGGACAACTTCATTTCATGTCCTCCTAGGTCAGTCTACTAAACCGTAGCGCACAGAAGACTAACTTTGTTGCAGTAATCAAGTTCTGTTATGTTATTTTACAGTGCTTTTTTAAGTACAGCTAAGGGTTAGTATTTTCACGATAACCAGCAAGAGCCTGCTCCAGCATGTGGGTATCCAACTCTGTGTATTTAACAGGCGCTGTTTTCTGGGGGTTCCTGCTAACCACATGTAGTCTCATTTTCAGAGGCAACATCATAATAGTTGCATAGCTGCTGGTGCCTGGTGTCCTGAAAAAAGGGTATTTAAAACAAAATCCCCAACTCTGTCCATCCACAGAGACAACTGTGCTTTCCAGCATTACAGTCACTTTTTGTATCTCCATCACCACCAAGCTTATGAGCACGAAAGCTGGAGATCAGCTATTTCTGTTTCTCAAGGGACTTTGTCATATGCTGGGATATTCCTACACAGCTAATATAGGATTGCTATGTTTAGTCCAAATAGGAAACTTGATACACAGCTCTCTACATTCTCTTCATGTGCAGAGGATATGGAGCTGACCAAAATTTTCCCAAGCCAAACTGCGAACAGACTTAGAAACAAAACCAAGAGGCCCTTCTGCCTTTTTGAAGTCTTCCAATTTTGCAGTGATGCTACCAGAAGAGCTCAGTTATAATCAAACCGTCACTGAAGTTTTTACTTTTCTGGTCTTATCTTCTGTTTCGTAGCCCCTTCCCTATTCCAAGGGAAAAAAAAAAAATGAGAAGGAAGAACAACTCAAGTATCTAAAGTTTGGATTTCTCTGACCCCCCCAGTTTTCCAGGAAAAAGCTGAAAATAGGTAGGTTGGAAATGCACCAGTAATCACAAGTGGATCCCAGGTAAGCCTTTGCAGAATAATTCAACATGCTGCAAGAGAAGGCTATAGAGAAAGATCCACGCAGCAACACAAAATCAAGAAGAGTGCAGCTTAAAACACATAGAATGCCTAATGCAGATAAGGATGTTCTTACCACACAGCGATAAAATGGCACCTTACTGCAGCACAGACAGTCGGGTGCCTATGCACAAGAGTCTGCATTCACAAGATCCACAGCATTAGCGTGAAACAGAACAGCCAATATTGATTACAGTTGGGAGACTAAGTGAATCTGGCCAGAGAAGACTGTTTCAGAAGCAATTGTGGTTTAATCCACTTTGTCCTGCAACGAGGACAACCACCCAGAACAGACCAGCGACTCTCACAAATGGCGATGAGGAAAGGCTTATGCCTTGCATCTCCTGGGCTTCCCACCAGGCTGTATCCACAACCCAGCCCCACTGCGCAGGGGTGGAGGATGGAGAATCTCCGGTGGGGAGAGCAATGCCTGCAGTGGGAGGCAGAGGAAGGCAGGTCTGGCTGCACGGTTTAGCCCTTCTGCCCCAAGAGTGAAGAGCAGAGGCATACAGCAGGCATGGTCAGTCCTGCAGAGACAGACCCTGGCACGAGAGCATTGCAGAGGAGAGAACAGAAGCCTGGAGGCAAGAGGAGACTTCCACCAGCGGTTCTGCATTGGGAGCCATTGCAGCGTGTCCCAGCTTGAGCTGCCGTGCTGAGCGAGGGAAGAAGAACACCACTGGACACAGAGTTTGGTTGTTTTTCAATATCAAACAGCCCCAGGCAGTTGGTAAGAGCCCAAATTGCCACTTTACAGAAAACTTCTTGCTCCGCAGCGTGCTCGGAGGTCCCGCAGCTCAGGAAGGGAGGGGAGGAGGAAAAATTGTACCTGTGCTTAAGCAACTAGAAAGCTGATAAGGTGGTGTCAAGCGAGTGACATGGGGTTGAGCCAGAAGGGTTTGGGAGCAGAAAGGCAACCATGAAGGGATCCGGCAGTAGGGAAAAAGGATGAACGTAGTTCAGGTGGGTGGAGAGGAGCTGGGGAGCAGGGACCTCTCAGCACACAAAACAGCCAGCTAAAAACCCAAGAACAGAAACAAGCCAAGATCCTCCAAGTTACCGCAGTCATTTTGCTATTCACAGTCAAGAAAACCCTCCTTGTGAATGAGCCCATAGGGCAACAGTGCTGTGCAGTGGTTGTTTGGAGTACTGGGTGGATCCTAGAGGACATTCTGTGACAGTCACTGGCCTTTCAAGACAGGATGCTGGAAAAAGATCAGAGCTGAGGGCACTTTCCTTTGAGCTGCTTGCAGGAGTTCAGGTAGGGCAAACAAAACCTGCCAACAACCTAGCAAAACCTGTTTGCTGTAAAGAATTGAACCTCAGTAGGATCCCACCTGGTGCATCAAAGCAGACTTCAGAAAAAAGAAGAGGTCTGATCAAAGAGGAGACCTTAAAATAGGTTTCTGAAAGCCACAGGCAGAAAAGTTGAGGATAGAAGTCCAGTGAGCTCCTCCTTCTTTACATCTAAAAACATAGCTTTGGGCAGGCTTGGGTTTGTACTGCTGCCCATCTCAAAGTGGCATTCAGGAGAGCTTCTCTTGTAAATGGGCACCACAAAAGAAAAAAAAACCAAACAAAACAATATGCTGCACTCAGAAGCCAACTCCTTGAGGGGAAAAAAAAAAAAAAGAAAAAAAAAAGAAGGAACACAGCCGCCAGAAGCATTCAGAAACAAAAGGTGTTTTGTAGCAGACAGAGCTATTTATAAGCTTGGCTATGAAATAAAGCTTCTTTTTTATAGTAGGAAAAAAGAATGAGCTTGTTTTCACCCCGACAACTTCCTCTCCTCTCACAGGGCCAGATGTTGCCCGGTTGGATCCAACCAGTTATCACCTCCCTCTGCACCATTCCTCCTTATTGCCACAACCCTCTACTATCATCCACTCAAGGTAACACCAGGATATCTATTAACATAAACACAATATGAGCATGAGATCCAAAGACTGTTTCAAGAGGGCACAGAGACAGCAACCCAGCTCTGCCTTCCCCCTTGCTACACGTCAGAGGACGGTCCTTTCTGCTCTGTTGGTCTACCCACAGATGTTCATGTCCTCCCTACGACAACCCTATTATGGACTGGTTCCAAGAGGTTACTGAAATCATTAAAAGTTTTTCCCCTGATTAATTCAGTAAATCAGGGAATTAGACCCCAGAAGCATCTGAATTTCAGGAGTACATCAGCCCCTATGCTCAGCCAGAATGACCTCCAGCTATCTACTTCTCCTTGCAACGTAAGAGAGGATAAGAAAAAAATCAGCAGATAGACTGTTCCTTTGAACTAGCAAAGGCAAACGCATCTTCACCCAAACAGTAGCTAAGGGATTTATTCTGCAGATTAAACTAACACAGGTATCCAGCTTCCTAGCAGCATCAGAAAGTCAAAGACCAAAACAAACCCCCGCTGTGTACCCAACTCCCTTCCAGCTCAGAGAGTCAGGCGTTTGCCCAGAAGCAAGGCTCCAGCTGTTACCATACAGTATCTTCCAACTCACCCAAAGTGTAGCTGGCAGAAATAACCCCAACGTCCCGCCAGAACAGCCAAGGGTTTGTTACACGGTGCAAGGTCGTACCCCACCTACCTGGTTAACGAGTTCTCCAGGCATGCTATTGCTCTGCAGCATCATCTATCAACACCTTCTTGTACTGGCCATGGCCTGTCGCAACAAATTTATACTTTTTGCCAGGAGTGGACTGAACAGAAGAGAAAGAAAGAGCCAAAATCAGCATTTTTCTCCCTCAAATAGGCAGTCAAGATCAAATAACTGAAGCCAGAGGAGTATGCGATACGGTTGTCTGTAATCCCAGAGGACTTGGAGCCAGCCTACTCTGTACTCCCTTCTTGCCCCTTCCACGTAAACTCTCTGTGCAGATTGACCGCCACTTTCTATAAGTGTAAGGTAACACAGCAAGCGCGGGACGGGTAATAGGAAAGGGAAGATGTAATGCCAGGCATCGTGAGGGACGGCTCATCTAAGAGCCCCGGCCCCCGAAGCCAGGGCTGGTTTCACCCATGGCAAGAGCCAGTTTCATTTGCCACCTACTGGCAGCAGTATCGATCCAGGGACAGACAAGATACCTCGATCTTCCTCTCCCAGCCTGCACAGTTCAAGCAGCAGGCATTTTAAGAGGCATTCCCACAAATGTACTAGTAGGCACAAAACCCCAAGTTGTTGATGCTGTCTTAGGTTCAGTTCCACTTAATTCTGCATGTTTTCTTTACTCTCAAGATTAAAAGCATAGCAAGAGCAAAGTAACTCACATCTGCAGTTCAATTTTAGCCTAGAAGGCTGGGGCTCCCAACCCATGGCCTGAGAACAACGTGCTATTCAAGACACCCTTCAGTATTACTGGTTATAAAATGATTTTTGCCCCCGTTTTTACTAGGGCTGAAGCGATAGCAGCTCCCTGTTAGGAAGACCTCTTAGGTATGCAACTGCATTGATAGATACAGGCAGCCCTTGTCCCTACAGAACATCACCATCTTCTCAATACTTCCAACCCAGCTAAGAGCTCTTTTCTTTTTCACAGCAGAGCAAGTGCTTTCATACTCGCACAGATACTAACTCACCTTGATGTTGGTCTCGGGTTTGGGATTGCCCTTCTGTTCCCAAAGGCTTCTTTTACTCACGATGTCTCCAGCCACGATATCCTGAGAAGATGATGTTCTCATTACCCTTCACTGCTAACGCTGCTGAACATGCCTTTGTTCACATCCCTTTCAAACCTACACATCTGACCTTTTTTATTTATAATATCTCATCATCTGACCTATGACAGCTGCAGCTAAAACCCATGACTGCGAAAACTTCTTCCTCTTCCCAGTATGTCCTATGTTTTCCTCTCTCTCACTCTCTTCAACAAGAGCCTGGATCAGAGATCCAAGATGTTTATTTTCTTAAGTTTGTTAACTATTTAAGACATGTTAACATCAAAGCTTTTTTTATGTGGAAGGAATTTCATTCACATAAACACAGATTTGCAACCCATGTGTTACAGAAGCAGCCTCACTCACAATGACCAGAAAGTGAAATTGAGAGCAATACATTCTGCATTTTCCAATTTTACAAGATTTATCATCTTGGTACTAGATCCAACTTTGTGCTCAACAACCGGAGCTCAGTCCTAGCCCCTGCAGAAGACATACACATTTTCCACACCAGCTGAATTTATTCCCATTTCAAAGCAGAGCCTCAACCAGCATCACAGAGGCTTTCCTAGCTGTACCACCAAGGAGCGATTCGGGACCCTAGCACAGATGAAGCAAAGCTCTGAGGTACAAGGCCTTGTATGCTGAGGAAGGAGATTGGATCTCTAATATAGATGCCTTCAGAGCTGGTGGGCACCACCAATGAGCCATTCCAACAGGCTAACGCAAGTGTCGTGCAAGTTGTGCCCAGAGGCCGGCCCCTCGTCCCCTGCACAAGCCGGGCAAGTCCCGCGGGTGCCATACCTTACAGGGTGGGGACTTCACGGCAGACTGAGCTGCGACCTCTCCAGTCTCCCAGAGGCTTTTTGTGCTGGCTACCATCATGCTCGTGGTTGGAAGGTCGAGAGAGGGCTGTCGGACGGGTTTTGGAGCCTTTGTGGATGTCTGGAAAATAAATGGAGAAAGATCGCTGTCAGGGAGAGTGTGCTTTCCCCCCCCCCCGTAATTGGAGGTCTTCAGGGATGTAAAAGGAGACCTGTAGGGTCTTGCTAGTTCCTGCCAGATGCTCCCACCCTTTAAGCAAGGAATGTGAGGAAACAAGGATGGGGCAGCTCGCTAAAGAAACGTACTTTATGCCGTGAAGAGAGATAGAGACAGGAGAAAGGGCTGCTCCCATCCAAGGGGAGATGCTTTAGTTGTCACCTCCCAGATGGTGAGGCTAAGAGGCATGGTGGGAGAGCAACGCCCGGCAAAGAGGGCTCCTTGGAGGGTGGGGACAGAGAGACAACGCAGCAGCCCACCTCAATAGCCTGTGTGTACTGCTCCAGCCTGTCATCGATCTTCGACACAGGGAGGGGAGGCTGGGTCTTCTTTATGCTGTTACTGGAGAAGCAAGAAGAGGATTAAGGTGATCCCCCAGTACCTCAGGCAGAAGGACTTTGAGGGCCACAGGCAGCCTGTCACTCCTGCCCATACCCACAACAGGGCCCTCTGGCATCCTCCATTTGGAGGAAGGGACCTGATTTACCCCAAGGGACACACCAGCGCTAGAGATACATTTTCTTTATGGCGCAGGTTCAGTGACTCGGTTCTGTCCGTGATCTAAAGTGGGAGAGAGAAGACGAAGATATTACTTTTCTCCATGGACCTCAGATGGATGTAGGTCACCTTGGCTGACTATAGTTCAAACATTTCTCTTCCCTGCTCCCTCACCCAGATTTTGGTTAGAAATGCCTCACTCAGTCCCATATTCCCACACTGAGCATCCCTTTTCCTCCTCCTTTCCAAGGCAGGTGAGCAGAATTCCAACCAAAAGCAGCAGTGCACAGTAGCAGCCCAACCAGTTTCAGGGGCAAACCAACAACGTGCAGTTTGACTGACAGCTGAAAGAGCAACCACGACCATTTTTCCTGCTCAAGGACCAGGTATCTTTCTCAGACACTCGGTTTCCTGGCCAGACACAAGAGCGACAAGTGTGGAAAGACAAGGGGGAAAACTAGAGGCACTGCCAGAAGAGGAGCCAAGCACGAGAGGAGCACAGGCATGAGTTACATCGCGGCTTATCCACACCAGAGAAGCGCAAAGACAGGGCAAGTCAGCGTGTGGAGCCACCTGCAAGGCAGCCCTGCAGGTCAAGCCATCAGGAAAGAGTTTTGCACGAGAGGCTCCTGTGCAAGAACTCTTTGGCCAAGACAGGAAGGTGAGCAAACACTTCACAACCACTGAATAAAGGAAAGCTGAAATGTTGCTAAACCTCACAGCCCTTTTGTGCCCCAGAAAACAAGAACACAGAGAGAAGATCACTTTCACGTCGAAGGGGAGGCTGTTTCTTAACAGCAGCTCCTACAGAGTCAAGGAGCAGCAATCAAGTAACAAGGAGCCTCTCTCCCTCTATACTGCTGCCTGTGCCATGGGAAACATCACCTACCAAGTTAGCAGGTGAAAAGCAGCACTAAGTGCTCATTTTAAGCCACTTTCAGGATGCTGGTGCTAAATTTTAGCTAAGCAGAAGATAAGACAGTGTCACAGAGAGGACGCCTTTAACAGCTGTACCCAAGAGCACAAGGCCCATTAGAGAAGAGCCCAACCACCAACAAACAGTGCAACCCTGGCTAATAGAGATGCCCTAGGGAGAGTCACTCTGCGGGGTCCCAAGACAGCAGCGTGACAGATATCCCTCCAGCCAGCAGTTTCTGCTGGGCAGGCTGTCCACCTGCCACCAGCTTGCTCCTTTGCTCGGTGCTGGAGGAATTGGTGCTTGCCTGAGCCGTGGCTTCAGAGATTGGGTTGCCCATCCTTCTGGGACGTTGATGGGCAGGCTAGCACCTCATGGGGCATAACAGCACCTGAAAGGGGAATCGGGTGGATCCCTGCCCACGTCTCAGCTTCTCAACCACAAGTAGATAAGATATCAATAAGAAAAACCCTTGCCAACCCTGCCAGAGAGATGCTGTGCAGGTGCAAACCACCCACAGGTGCTTCCAAAAGGTCATAAATGAGCATCAAGTTAAACACAGAGGGGCCTAAAAACAGGCTGTAGGTGACAGTAGGTGTCAGCATGACAGTCTAGGTGGGAACAAACTTTTCCTAAGCTATTTGGAGGCCACCTCCCTCTGCCCTGTAGGGCAATTTTTTGCAGCGAGACACATGCATTTCTCTGGTCCAAAGCACCTTCTAGAGACCAGAAGAAACCACAGTTGCTCACTCAGCCAACCTCAAAACTCAGAGCTCACAAGCAGCCTGGGACAAAAATGGGGCTGGCACAAGGCTTCCCCCCTGCCACCACACATCCATTTCAGCCCCCAGGCCACGCTGGCCCTCTGAACCCCAAACACCCCGACCTACTGCACCCCAACATCCACCTCCCCCAGATGTGTACCCAGCCTCCACCAGCCACAGCTGGCAGGGGAGCTCACCGCCCACTGCAGATGCACTCGTCTTGCCACTGCAAGCCGTGTTTCTGCTGAGCGATCCCGTGCCAAAACACCTTCTTGGTGGTCAATATGTTTAATTCTTAGTGTTCACATAAAGCCCTGCTAGCTGGGGTGTAAAGCACCTCCTGCCTTTGGAAAGATCCCAAGCTCATATTTTTCCTGAAGAGCTTTACATTCGGCTTTGTGTATTGGTGAGCTCTGACATCACCGTTACAAAACACAGAGACTATATTTCTAAGCCTTTCCCCGAGCTAATGCTAGCAGCAGCAGTTAAGCTCAGGTCAGGAAGCTACGTGTGTTTTGGGTTTGTAATGGTGAGAATTTAAGCACATAAAAGGCACTAGAAGTGTTTCCCACATCTCCCCACCAGTCCCACTCAGGGGTATGCTTTGGCCACCCCACCCCACTTTTCAAACCTAACATTGGCACGTGGCCTGCATCCAAACCCACCCTTTCTCCCCTCTCTGTGGAGAAGCCTTTTAAAAATCAAACAAAGAGCAAGAATCTGATGGTTGTAGCTGATGAAACCCTCCTCTTATGATCCATTTACTGGTGCAAGAGGAAGTGCTCATACAATCCTCCCCGTCCAGGAAATGTTGACTAAGAAGCAAATAGCACAGATATGAATGCAAAAAAGAAATATAATACCAACAGCAGATTAACAGGCTACCCAGGCTCCTCACAATTTCCCTCACTGCAATAATCAACAAGCTTAGGGCTTACAAAGACAAAAAGCCATTTGCTACAGAAACCACTTATCTGTAGCTATTGTATTGAAAAGCACATGGACAGAACTGAGGATTTGTAGCAAATGCTTCTGAGTCACGAGATGCAATTCAGGTGGTGCTAAAAAGAGAAGTTTCACAAGAGCATCAATGCAGACAGATGTGATTGGGAAGGACACAAGGCTTCAGAGATCAGGAATCCCAGTTTGTTTAAAAAACTTAAGTCGTACTTTCTGATTTTATTCTAAGTGAGATGGGAAAATTCCAGTGCTTCAATTTTTTGAGGGTTTTTTGGGGAAGGGAAATTTCATTTTCTGATTAAGTTCATGTGTCATCTTTGACCAAATTCACAAGCTTAAAGCACAGACATCTTTCTCAGTATTACAATATTCCCTGAAGTCCTCAATGAACTTTAGACATTTACGGTGATTGGCAAAGTATACACAGAGACAGTTACAGCCTCCAACAGCTCGAGCAGGCAAAGCAGGAGGAGAGGAGGCTGACAACCACGGAGGATGAAGGAAACGGATCAAGTGATTTGTCCCAGCCTGTAGCAGGAGTGGGATAACAGGATTCACACCCGCTGTTACCACAAGCCCTGGGTCATCTTTCCTCATCGTTAGTTGGGTGCTCTATTGCGATAGCTGCCATCGCCTCCAGAGGGGCCCCAGGAACACAAACCTTGGTGGAGCACACTGCGGTGTGGTCAGAGCACAGCTCCTCCTCCTCCAGGCTGGCAGGGCTTGGGGCCTTCGGGCGTTTTTCTGGTGTTTCTTCTTCTTCTTCTTCATTTCTCCTTCTCTTCTTTTCCTGAGGGCAGAAAATGAGCAAGCCAGGGAGTGAGCTGGTCAAAGTGCTCACTGTGCAACAAAAGTGATTCTTCCCCTGTCTCCCAGGCTTTCTGCTTTATACTAAACAAACACAGAAACTTTGAGTTCACATCATTTAATTTTGAAACATCCAGGAAGAAGCTGGTGTGTTAATTTGGGGGGGAGGGTGGGGAGGAAGGGGGAAGTATCAGAGAAATTTTGCAGGTTCAAGGTTCCAAAATGATATGGAAAGGGGTCCTTGCATCAGTTAATAAAGATTTCTTACCACTGTTGAGATAGGAAAATGTTAATTTCTCATTTAGAGGCCACAAGGAGAGAGAGCAGCTGCCTTTAGAATAGAGGGCTAGAAAGAGTCACACCCACAGTTCAAATGCAAAAAGCATACTAGCCTCCGCAAGTCAAAATCCATTTACAACAGAAGATATTTGCAGCTCAGCCACCCTAATGGACTTGCACACCACTCAATTTCCAGCTTTGTCTCTCGTGTTTACCAGGAATTACACCTCATCGGAA